TCCCTTTAAAGTTATCCATCTTTTCTGTTGCATCAACACTTACCTACAGTCATATTTACATGAGCTTTGTTTTCATATCCTGAAATGCTTTGTTTGCTTTGGGTCACACCAACACCTGTAACTTTTGGGGAGTCTTATTTTTTTTCCAAAATCCACCATGGCAATGACAAGTTTATGATGACAATAAGAAAGTGTTTGTTTCTGTAGTCAGGCCTCCTGTGTCACAAGGAAGGGTACAGATTATTTGCAGTTTCTATATAGTTATGTTATTAATAAGTAATATTGGAAAGAATTGACTTGTCGTAAGACAAACAGCAATTAACTTTAAATTCTGGCATCCATGACATCTGACTTTGCTTTTTCAGCATACTTCTCATTGGGAGAACCCCATTTTCACTCAACAAGTTTGTGTAACAAAATCTGTGAGCCATCCATGATTGTATGTTGAAATTAATGGAATTAGTTTTGGCAAAAGATGTTCTAACTTCATCAACAATACAAACATTTAATGAACCATTACCACCTAAGACTTTACACTCTACATTATTTAAAAAGCATAATGAAATAGTTTTCTATCCATCTGCATTTATAATGTAAATAGTAAGGCATAGAAAGACTTGTCTTTCATAAAACAAGTATATTTGATTTAATATTAGTATAACCTCAACAGAACCCTTAAATAGAAAAAAAAAATTATGCTATGATAGCATCCTATGAATTATTCTGTTGATTGTGATCTTTAAAAGCAAGGGTGCTTATAACTAATACTTTCAAATAAGATAAAAATACCTCAAAATCATGAGGAGGAAAAACGAAGCAGGAAGTTATCCCTCCGCCACCACATGAAGCAGCGCATTCAAAATGACTGTATAGCGAAATCGCAAGACTGACAGACTTTAGCCTCTCAAACTGTTCCCCTCCAAATCAAGAAGTTTAAAAAAATACTTAAAAAAATCAAGCAAACATTCTTTGCAAATTCACCTGTGTGGTTTTATTCAAAAACTTTCAGTTACAAGACCTCAAACCATAATTCATACAGTTGAATTGTATCAGTTACAGTTTAGAAAAGATATAAAATTGCCCTTGAGCAAAGACCCAACACAAGGTATACTTTCAGCACTTATGGACAGTTACTGCTAAATCAAAGACAGAATTAATAAGGATCTTCAATTTCAAAGCACAACTTTAACAACAGACTGTGGCTGGGTCTCTCTTGTTTCAGGACTCCTAAAAATACACAATAGTATGCTAATATATATACGTCAAAAAACTATAAAGCTAATAACTAAATGATGTTAGTCATGCAACAAGTTTACATTCCTAAACATATCATTTAAGTAGGGTTGCTGACTCATTAAAACTTTTTAAAAAAATGCAGCTTTTTTGGTACGCGTACAAGTCATTCAAGTAATTCAAGTAATACCTACTGAAATGCATTTTAGAGCAATTCAGTTTCAAAAGTTAAAACTTGTATCTTACCTCAAAAAGGACTGCAGCATAAAACCAAGTGTTTAAGTTCAGTTACACAGTTCTACAGACACATACTTGTTTTAGTCTCTGTTCCAGTCTTTGTTCCAGTCTTATTTAAACCAGCAAACGGCTTGCTGGGAGACGTACCTGATCCAGTCTGGTGATCTGTGCATTTCCTAAGGTGGAAGTGTACTATTGTGAAAAGAAACATTACTAGAGATGCAGTAGAACATCTCTTTTCCATGGCTACATTCCTGGGGATGCCAGATAGTCAAAACAAGCCCAACAGCCATCACTAGCACCCCGACAGCAAGCAGCAGGCAGGATAAGATGTTATCCAAATGGTTCCAGCGCTCCTTGGACAGCCTTAGGTAACAGGCTGTTGGGATGATGAAGACGAGTGGAGTGGCACTGAGAACTCCCTGCATTGTGGAAATAATAAAAACCTGGTAAGAATGTATAAAGCTATCTGAAAACACAAGGGCCCACATATTTTTTTAAATAATTAATTAGATTGAAGCAAAAGCAAAGCTGGAGAATAGGAGCCTTTTTCAGTGTTGCTAGACAGAAAATTTTCCAAGTTATAATTTGCAAAAATATCTATGAATGCATTTGAAATAATTCAGGACATTTACATATTAGTATATGATACTGCTAATATAGAACGATATTTTATGTTGCAAGTACTTCTAAGTTAAGGTAGCCATGAGGATTATAGAAGTTTGAGCTCCAAAAGAATGGTAAAAGTCAAGTCCAAGTGAAGTAATTCTGGAATACTCTAACTGTGAAATATTTAAGATGATTCTATGTAGAGGTTTAGATGCATTACTTTTAGTATTCATAAAAATGGAAAGACTCATCGTGCAGCAGTTCAAAGAATTGTGATCAACCATACTTCTGTACTTATGACCTAATTCAGGATAACTTCCCTATGCCTTCAAAGCTGCCTTTGAAAGCTCTCTTACCAAAAATTCAGCTCCCATTTAAGCACTCTCTTAGATGTTGACAAACATAAGCACAAAGCTTATCTGCTTTCTGTTTCTTAACTGCGCCCCCCACCCCCCGCCAAAAAAAAGAGCATTTGGATCTAGAAATTTTGAACATCCTGCTTTGTTTCAATTGGTGAGGTAGTAATCTGCCCTACTGCCTATCTTTTTAATCTCAAAAATATTTTTATGGTAGAAACTATTAACAATGATCAGCATAGACATAAAAAAATAAATGAACACAGACATAAAAAAAATAAATGAACACACCGACTATCTTTTTCATTTAGAAAATGAGTCTCAAACATGTGAAAAAATGTAAACCAGCATGCAAGTAAAAGAATAGTACATGTAGGTCTGCAGACCTTCCACTTCTGCACAACTACCAAGCAGTTTCCTTAGTGATTTACCAGACAACACACACAGTGACTTGTGCTTTGTTTTAGCACCAGAAAGCTAGGAAAAAGTAAGCAAGGCCTGAGGGGCATCAATAGTGCTATCGTGGGTGAGCAGCCAAAGACAGCCATTTTGTTGGTCCTGGAGCCCGTTTGGAAAATACGTCTTTTTTTTTCCCCTCTTGTAAAGCCTGCTTCCTCATTCTTTTCCTCCACTGAGGCAAACAAGACTCTGTGAACAATCTTTTAAGTGCAAGGGTTATACCCAAGAAGTACACAGCTGTATTGACAAACACCTCCCTGCCCCCAGAAAAGCCCACAACACATGAGCTACCCCCGAAATGCCTGTTACTACATTTCTCCTCCTAATCGAAATCAAACTACTGACTACTGAGTACTGTCTCAGCCTGTCTGGGAAGAAGCAATGCATTCACGGGATGCTTACTTTTCATGATTGTTTACAACACTTTGAGTTCAATGCAATAGGAACTGCATGTATTTGATCATGCCAGAAAGACTAACTGGCAGTTTCCTAAATAGACGTAATTTATTCTTACTATAAAACATTTCTACTAAAAAGAAAAAAAAAAGGCTGCCAATAAAGTGTTTTCTCCATTTTCCAATTTTTATATCCTGAAGTATGAGATCCCCATATGCTTCATATTATCAAAAACAGCTGGCCTGAAATTGAATGTAAACTACCTACGCAAACAACTTTTGTCGTAAAAGTAGATTGGAAAATTTGTACCCATTTTAAAGACTTCTTTTGATTCAAGGTACATTTTTTGCCCATAAAAATTGACTCCATATGATAAGTCCATTCTCTTAACTAACAGTCTAGGACTTCAGTAGAAAAAACTGCAGCTCCAATCAGCAAAAATAAGTTTTAGCTTTAACACCTTTATATAGCTTTTTAAGACAAGAGGCGCTTCGAGGCCTGCTTGGTAAAACCCATCTCTGCTGTGAGGCACTGTCAGACATGGGCAAGTTTGGCATGTGAAACAGGTCTCTCCTAAAATCACACACATAGATTGAGATTACCAAATCTTAGAGCACATCCTAATGACTGCTTTGTGCCAAAGGAGAGGTAAAAATAAAATCAAGCAAACAGAAACTGCCCACAGAACCAGAAGTAGTGACAGCACAGAGACAGGAAACGGAATGGAGCAAAACTGAATAATCTGCCTGCTTCAGAGAAAGGGTCTAGAAAAAGAAACACTGGATATAACCCTGCAGTATGAGGTAGGATGGATATTCTAATGACTGTCACTGCAGTGTTAAAACATTTAATAGTCTCAGCTACTCACCTTATCTCCAAATTGTGATCAAAGTTCTTCATGTGAATTGAATTTGTGTTCCTGAATTTCCTTTCTCCTTTAATTACCTAAAGCACTAAATTATTCCTTTTTTTCTCTGACAATCCCAATCAAATATCATACTGAATTAAACAGACTTTTAGCAGAGCTGTGAATTTTTCAGAGTATGCTTTATTGGAAAGAATGATTTATTAAGAATAAGATAATTCAGGTTCACTTACATTCAGCTCTAAAACTATTCCGAGGCAGTCATATACTAATGAGATAGCCGTCGCCACCGCAACGATAAGTATTGTCACAAAAATATGGAATATTGTTGACAGGTTCCCATGGAAAAACACATTAGCAATCACCTGAAAGAGAACCAAGTTTGAAATTTCACTTTTGCTCTTTAACAGTTTGTTGCAAATCTTCTAACCTTAGAAAACTAAAGGAATTGGTGGGAACATCCTGACTCAACTTCACCTACCTTGCTTCAAGAAAACCTCTTCATCTTCTTTCAAAAATAATTAACAAAAGTCCTACCAAAATCATAATTTCAGGGGATAGTTACTTCTTTCTCATTCCTCTGTGAAAGAACTAAACTACTTGCAATATCATTCTTTATTGAAAAGAAGCATTTCCTAGATGGACGGACTTCCTTCCATAGAGCAAAATTAGCAAGCATAGTAAGTATCTACTATAAGTACCACATCTATTACCTACTATAAATCTACTAGATATCTCCTATAATTCAGCTGTTCTAAACACACTGACCACAGTAGAAGTTATCCTGATATTTATCATTAAATGATTATTAGTATAACACTGAATAATATTATAATAAGTATAATGCAGTATTAAAATGTTAGGATCCAAGAAGCGCGTCTAATGCTTCATGTCCATTAAATACAATAGGAAAGGACAGGCTGGCATTTCTTGCGCATCCCCCATCATCTGTAGCCACAATACGGCTGTTACGTATTAATAGTGCAGTGAACAAGAATCAGCATTGTTAGAGTGGGGTGATAAAAGCTCACCTCTCTGGTCACAAAGCATTCAAGGGGGAAGGTCAGAATTACAGTAACTCCATAACAAAATCTTCCAAATGTAGCAAGGTTGTCATCTCTACAGTAGTTTTCAAATATATCTCCTGAAGCATAACAGAACATCAATTATTTTCAATTGCATGACACTCCACAATTTCAAATTGTTACTTGCAATAACAATTGTTAATTGCAAGTTACTGGAGCAACATTCTACTGACACTTAAGACTTTCTTACCTACTTTCATTACACTTATCAAGAAACTATAGTTAGCCACAAATTACATCCAGTAGGAACTCTCAACTTGACCAGACAGTAACAATGTTTTTATTTAAGTTAGCATTTATCTTAAAAAATATTCTAATAAACGCATGGTAATGTTTATCACATGTTAGCTTTCTCACAGAAGTCCTTTGCAGTGATTTGTTATGCTTGTTATTTAAGTCAGTAACAGATTTAAAAAAATGTAGGTAAAACAAACATCCACTTTTTAAAAAGTTATTCTTAGGACAAGAATAATTGCACAAGAAAGACCAACAAAATACCTCTGCAGAATTGCATTTTACTTAGAGTGGCTAATCACACATAAGCTGTGTAGCAGATGCAAAAAGATTCACTAGGTAACAAAAGCATGGCTAGCGAGATCAAATCACTTTGGTCAGCATTTACACCGAAGAGCCTGGAAAGATGATTCCTGAGACAACAGAAACTAAGAGAGTGACCTAGCAGATCTTTCTGCCTCTAATTTGTATTACACTATCTTGATGATTTATTACTTTCAAGAACACAATCGTAGTGAAACAGCAATCAGCTGTGCTCTAGAAAAAACATCATCAGAAAGTTTTGAGAGGACAGCTAAAAAATAAAATGGACTCTATTCACAGTATAGTCTTATGCCAAAAACCAGCTGCAGTCAAGAGCTTTCTACACTAGAAATGTCTCAATTAGTTTGCATTTAAGTTGACTGGAAAGTTGCATCTATGACGGTAGAGTCATTCTCCTTCATAAACAGCACAGGGGGAAAGGAGGGAACTAGTTTCCTACCCCTCACATCTTTTCTCAGTTAAATTCCACAGTTTATCCCAGGAGGAAAAAAGCTAAGAAACCATCTCCTACAGCTTGAAATTGCACTATCAATAAAAGAGAATCTGAGAAATAATGCTCATACAGTGTGTTTTAGTATTTTATGCTAATATACATTGCATTAATACAGTAATAAACAGATACACAGAGAGGCGATAGTGGCATTAATTGCAGCCAAAATCTATTGTAAAGACAGGAAACATCTCCAAGAGCTGGAATGCTACATTAACACAGGCAAGAAATTGTAGAAGAAAACATATAGAAATAAACGTCAGACACCTCATAGAAAAATGTAGTCAATTTTTGCTCTTCGTGCTCTGTTAAGAATATCATGCAGATAGATTATGGATGTTTAATCCTCACAAGTCTTTGGATTATGGAAGGATCTAAGGCAGAATTTCACCACTGAGGCTTACACTTGGGAATTTGGTACTTCTTGCCATGCAGAAAAAAATGCACAAGTTTGTTTGTTAGATACCTACAAAGAAGGTTTATCCTAGCTGTTTCTTTCCAAGCGTAATGGCTTTGGCACTTCTGCACCTAATAACATATTCTCAACAGAATTCAGATCAGGAATAGCAAAACATAAGGATTGCAATGAACATCAAAGTAAGTGCATTGAGCAGTTTACCTTCTGTGTACTCTGCAAAAGTCATATATCCACAAGCAGCAAATGCTACACTGATAATAACAGCGAGCGAGACTGACACGTGTGTGATTCGAGACCAGTTCTTTAAAGTAGGTTCTTCCAGAGAGCCATAGATTAAGAAGCTGTTATGGTGGCAAATGAATGCTGAAACATACATCATAATTAAGCAAAACCATGAATTTATGCATAGGTATATGGAAAAAGAAAAATAGCGGAGTTCATATTCCAAGGTAGGAGAAATACAGAACAGAACCCGCTCGCTTCCTTCCACATGAGGACATTAATCTTGCAGTCAGTAGTAGCAAAGGTAAGTGGCTTGAACTTGTATTTACTTGTTTAATTCAGTGAAGATTGATCTTTTCTGTTCAGCCTGATGTGATTCCAATTACGCTATCCTAACATGCCACATTATTTCATCCCAGCCTCCCCTATCCACATGTTCATTCCAACTTGCACCTTCTCCCATTCTCCTCTTCAGCACAAGAGCCCTGCAGAGCTTTTGAACTATTTGCAACTCTGGACTTCCTATGACCTGCTAGGGAGCAGCAGATAGAGGGAGGCCTCAGACCGCTCAGACAGCATTTCCATGAAGTAGTGTACCAGATAACCAGGTGAGAATGGATTTTAGAATGAGGATAGTGTGAGTTGAGATTCATCCGAGAGCTTCACTGTGGTAAATAATAGGTGCTCTCTAGTCAATCTGTGTCTTCCAGCGTAAGGCTTTTCTGTCAGAGGTTATCTAAGAGAAAGAAGAATGCTCACAGCCACACCAGTTCACACACAAATCATACTAAACATATTGCTGTAGTTATCTCAAGATAGGAATTATGAACTGAACATTTGAGCTGCACTCACAGCTGCTTTGCTACAATCGCAACAGTCTCTACAGCAGGATAGAGAATGGATGGGGATAAAGACTTAAACTGTAACACGTTGATTCACCTAATGATGACTTAAAGTCAACATTTACTTTTGTTCTTAACCAGCTTAACATCAAAGTGGAAAAAGTAACATACAATTCCCAACTCCAAAAATACTGATTTTGTCAGTCTGAAGACTGAAAATACAAGGAACTGACTTACCAAATGACATCACCCCAATGGCTTGTACTGCATTTGATTTTGCAAATATCCAAGCATTTTCTGATTTGGGTCTAAAACAGATATTTGTTTTAATAAATTATTCAACTATCACTTATTAAAATAAAACACTGCTGTAATAAAAAACTGCTAGACACAGCCTCAGATCTCTCCACAATAGGCCACAATGATCAATAATATAAGTCAAATACTGTTAAATGTCTCCTTTCCTTTGTTTCAGTTCAAGTTTCAGGGACAAGTTTGTATGGCCAAAAATAAGAGCCTGTTTTAAGTTCTGCAATCGTAATTCTTAAAGAAAATCGCTAATAACCTTAGTTAAAATTCATTTGCTGCATTAACATCTCTGACTAAATAACCAAAATGTAAGAAAGATGAAGGAAACACCTATTTCCTGACTTGCAATTTTCTAAAATACCAGGTGAAGTTCACAACCTTATTTCACATTTTACTGAATGCTAAAGCATACATTATTAGAGTAGCCTGTGCTGACAAAGTTGACTGCTGCTAATCTTGGTTACTCTGTTTTCATTTAGAAGGAAAACTCTTGCCACTTCAGACCTTAGCTATTATTTTCTTACCACCCTGCAAAGCAGAGACTATCAGGACAGCTCCCTCAAGACAACAGCAGCAGCTTTCTTTCTCCCTCATTTGATGATAACCAGCTCTTTTTTTCCTGCCCCACTTGAATACATTCTGCTTGCTTAAATATGGTGGTAATTGAGTATCTGTGAATGATGAAACTGGCTAGATGTACAAACAGGAATTTTCTTTCCTTATTGCTCCTCACTTAGTGTATAAAACAAGCTATGTTTGCAAACACAAAATTATTTACTGTTCCAGAAGAAGCAGAAGGTAGATGAAATGCAATGGAAGTTAATAGGAAGAAATGTGATTCTAAGTGTAGTCATTGAGGGCTGTAGCATCTATAATACTCAGTAGAAGTTGTAACACAAAATAAAAGTTGAGAAGTAATGTGACTCCTGGAACAAAAATAAAGGACTGACAAAAAGATGTTCCACAGGACTTCTTAGTCAAATGAAGTCCCCACTGAAAATAATACAAGAGCAAATTAGATTGACAATTTGCGCTGTCTGTAGGAAGGTGATGAAGTTGCTTACTGGTTGCTTACTCCATCTTAAGTATACTTAAGAGATACAGCAAAGAAAGATACAGGAAATCTGCACGTGAATCTGAAGAGCATTTTGAGATGATTACTGTTTACCTATGCTAGAATAGTGGAAAAGTAAAAAGTAAAAATGCAAACACAGAAAAAAACCCAAGTGAAGATTAATATCCTTTCTTGCAATAAAAGCTACATCATACAGATCATATGCAAGACCCAGGGAAATGTCTTTGGCAGTCTAGGGTAGCAAATCTACTTCTTTTTGTCAAGCATTTACAGTAGAGTATCACAAGACCTATACTATGCAGAAATCTGCTCTGCTATTTATGTAGAAATGCTGCCAAATATGAGACAGAGTACATCAGAAAAAAAAACAAGTAAAGACCTCAATCTGGCTAGCATATATTTGAAAGACTCACTGAAATGAAAAAGTGCATTTGCAAATAGGAAGAAGTAACACTTTTGACTGTTGGGAGCTACATGCTGGAATCAACAGAAGAAACCACTGTTCTGGATTAAAGATCATGGACAAAACGGGCAAATTTAGGTTCAAACTGTGATGACTGATAACGGATAAATACATGACAAATTCAGGTTTAATGCAATGATTTAGACATTTAGGAAACAGACTAAGCATAAAACCTGGGTTCAGTTCAACTGCAAAAATATGGTAGCATATCCTTCTCCTTTGATTTAAACTTTAAGAGTTACAGACACTGAATGTAATTTCATCAACACTGTGGAAAGGAAAAGATTAATATTCAGGTAAACCTTGAATTTCATATTAATCAAAATCATTTTTGTCATTGAGGAACAAAGAGAAGGTTAAATGATATTTGCCATAGGCCCACTAAGTTGCAGGTGATTTAATTCCCCTTTCTGCTTAATGAATTACTTAACAATTCCATAAATAAGAGGTCTTTCTTTTGGTTTTTAATTTCATCATACATTAAAGTTTACCCTTGAATCTTCCTTGCTTCTAAGTAATCCAATAATAAACAATTTTCTACTTTCAAGTTTTCTTTCCTTAAAACTTGGTGTTTCATCCCTGTGATCAGCTGCCAGTTGAGTAATTTTTACATCCCATCTATGTGTAACAGATGCTCTTGAAGCTTTTCCTGCACTTACTTATTATGCAGACATTGACATCAAAGCAGTCTTTCAAAAAGAGCACCAAGTCCAAACGACGCATCTTTGCAAGTTACATAAAAACCTGCCTTCTGAACCAATGAATGTTAACTTCATCTCTGAACAAGCAAGTTACCTTGTGCAGTATTACCCTATCCACAGTTTGACCCATTGCTTTGGCAGTACCTTTAGAAAGACACCCAGCTATGAGCCGATAGAAACAAAGTATCATCTAACTGTATTCTTATCCAAACTCTAATCCATTCAGGGTAAGCTCTAGATTCAGAACACTGCATGTTAACTGCAGGCACACCATGTTCTTCAGACAAAGATTACCAGAATAAGATTGATCAAACACACAAGTACCTCTGTTTCATATTTATCACGAAGAAGAAGTAAATCAAGTAACACCCTCTTAATAAATACAGTATTCCTTTCCTGCAGACTAACCAAAAAGTAACACTCTCATACTGTCCCTGAAGCAACTATATTCCCAAAGCAATTAAAAAGAATCATCAAAATCAAAACATCAAATCACTTCAAGTAGTAAATTTTTTTCTAGTGGTCTACTTCAACACAGAGGACGTTTCTGGGAGAGAAAAAAACATTTTTTCTGGCCTAACAATAGACATTGCCTTCCAGTAGAAACTGTACTCCATTTCAACAAAAAGGAAGTTTTAAGATTCCCAGTTAATAGCCATACCTCTCCAGGGGGAATAATCTTCATTTTGAAGGTCTAGAGTAAAAGGTAGGTAAAAACTGATTACTCCTCAGAGAGTTGTAATCAAAGGGGGAGGGATTTTCAATGGGATTCCACTGAAATATGACCTGAGCCCAGAGAATGGTTAAGGTTGGAAGGGACCTCTAGAGATCATCTAGCTCAACCCTCTCTGCTCAAGCAGGGACATCTAGAGCACATGACAGAGGGTGGCATCCAGGTGAGCTTGGAAGATGTCCAGAGAAGAAGACTCCACAACTTCTCTGGGCAGCCTGTTCCACGGCTCTGTCACCCTCACAGGAATGTTTTTCCTCACACGGAGACAGAACCACTCTGAATACATTCAGTAATAATGTGGAAGCTGGAACAAAAAGTACAGATTGTATTTGCCAATACAATCATGGTAAAAGAATCTGCTTCTGGCAGCACCGGAAATACTATGTAAATTAGTCTAAAAATAAAAACTGCAATCAGAAATAGATAGTTTGCCTTTATTGAAATAGTTTCACATTTGATAGGAGTGTTTTAGCTAAAAGAGATAAAACAGACACCATAGGCCATGAAGGAAAGAAATTAAGATTCTTACAAGTCAATCACAGAGAGAGGAAAAAAAAAAAAGGCAAGCCACTTTGTCTAAAACACTTCAATGTTAAATCATCTTTTTCAGTAAAATGCGGAGTGCTAGAAAACCATTTCACATGTTCATTCAATTGCTTCCCTCGAATGACCAAATAGTATTTTTACTAGTGTTCTTCACTTTTTCCTTTTCCTCATTTGTATTCAATTTTCATTATGAAGTGATTAATAAAAAAGCGGTATGTTCCTAGAACATTGTTTTAAGATTATAGACTATGTGTCAAAAATGAACAAAAATAAAACACTTCCAACTACTAAGCAACTTCACATACTAGGGATGCACGTAAGGATAAAACCTGCAACTTCTGATTCGCAATTTTTTGAGCGTTTTTTGACTTTAGCCCTTTTCACTCCTCAGCTGCATAAAATGCAAGTACTGCTTTTGTAACTCATTTCACACTACTATAAGTACAGGCCTGTTTCTTAAGTATCTATGTCTCTCAAAAGTATGTGCATATACATAACAGTCATGTAACAGGTTATATGGCTTAGAAATCATTTTGTGACAAGTGAAAGCATACTTACACTTGTGGACTGAATGTTACTGTCCTCACCATCACAATAACCAAGATGACAATTGTTAAAATCAGAGAAATAAGAGATACCTGTAAGGAAAAAAAAAATACAACTTTACTTTGTGAGCTCCTTATGATTTTCCTTTTTTTAGCAGCATAATCCGCTTTAAAAAGGAACAATACAATAAACAAGTTTCTAAATACTAAAAATGTCAAATAGAGTAGGTTGTCCTACAGTTCCTTGTTTTCACAACTTGCCTATTGCAATGGTATTGTTAGAGAATTCCCACTTAAACACTTGCAATCAACAGTGCTCAGTATTTTGAGATCATGCCCGTATCATCAATTACCCAGTGGTTTCTACCAACAGTAAATGGAAAATCCAACGACTCATTGATTTTTCTTTGGATACCAATATATACTTCAGACTTTCCAAAACCTTGATATTTTCTGGGACAGAAGACAGACTGAACTTAAAAAGTATATAGTGATTCCAGTCAGACGTAACATAACGCAAACACCTTAAATGGCGCTTACGTTCTAATGGCATATAGAGAAGGACACCAAACCAAACAAACAAAACCCTTAAACAAACTGCTATTTACCTTCCCCAGTTTTGCTATGTCACGATACAGAGATATAGGTAAGGTAAAGATGATGGTGGTAAAAAGAATGATAAAATGACGGTCACCAAGTACATTGTCTGATCCAACTAAAACAAAAAAGAAAGCCGTATGTTATTTCTCTCAGAAACTGAAATGTTTCTCTCAGAAACTGAAATGAGAAATAAATTAGTCAGATTTGAAAGGCTAGTAGTAGCTCACTCTGATTTTGACTATGTTTTTATCTCCTTTATTCAAGCTGAGCAGTACTAAAACAAAAATTAGGTATTAGTTAAGCTTAAGGAAGACATACATAGTGTGAGCACAACCAGAAGAAATCTGCAAACTCAAACTAAGCACATAACAACATATGGGATATAATATTATATCAAACTGGCAATTTGGCATTTGTATTTATAAGTAAAGAACATAAGAGATTTCATTTAGGGGGTTCTCTAGAGCACCTCCTTTTTAATGTTACTTAGCACAGTACAGATTACCATGTATAGGTATCCAGAGTATTTGTAATAGAATCCTACTGACTTCAGGAAATGTTATCTACAATTGTTTTTTTTTTTTTTTCGAGCCAATAGCAACTGAACTGAACATGTGTCTTGGTTCCAGGCCGACTGCGATGATTCATGGATTTGAATCAAAGTTGGTGAATAATTTTGTCTGGAAAGTGATTTGCAAATGACACAGAAAAGCTACATTCAGTTCCCTTTTTTTCTGCAGGAAATTGTAATGCCTCATCTCTCACTCCTCAGGCAAGCATTCTAGCAGCCAAGTGAAAAGCTATACCATGCTGAGGGATCCCCTTATTACAAAAGTCATTTTAGATATTCCTTGTTCTTACCAGCCTCACTGAAGAACAGCGTGTGACAGAACTACTCATACCTTGCAGGCTTTATGCACCTGCTGTAAATTATAGTGCCCTTAAAAAAAAGCTAAACAGTTCATACGAATTCTTGTTTCCACTTCACTGCAGATGTTCTTTTTAGTTTAACTCAGCAGTGATGAACATTTGAACTTGGTCAGCTTTGTACTAAAGCAGATGACAAACATACAAACAAATTGCTCAGCTGGTTCTGTGAAGGAACTAAAGTTCCCAGCACAGGAATGCTAACAAGTATATGGTATATGGGGTAAAAATCTCAAAACACCACATCTGTTTTTACAGTGAATATTTAGAAGAGAACTAAAGCTACCTATGCAGTTCAGAACTACCTAAACAGATATGCTCAAGTAAGCATTGAATCTATTTCATTATTTGCAAATAAACCAGAATTAGTTACTAGATGAATACCTGAACTGTTTTTAAAATGATGATTATTTTAACAATTATCCATAGAATATGACAGTGAAGTTAAGCATGTTGATGATCTTATAATCCTACTACGGAGGAAGACTCCTTAGATTTGCTTTTTATTTTCCTGAAGCAAGAATCTTCTTCACTGACACAGGGTCCAAAGACAACCAAGGGCTAGGATTCACAGCTTTTCTTCGACAAAAAGGTCCACCCCCAAAATACAAGTAAGAATTTTAGATCCTCATGAATTCAGAGTTCACAAAGAAGGAAGACATCTTAAACTATATTTTAAAATAATTCATAAAGTAACGAGTAGATAAGCCTTCCGTCTAACACCATGCAAATCCCTAAGCATTTTCACTACACATTTTCCCATTTCTCAAATTCATAAATGCACCTTACCTCCAGGAATTCGCTGAAAAACTTTAGTTAAAGTATCTCCTGTTATTATGTTGTAACTAATCATAGCTTAAAAGGAAAAAGCAAAGCAAAACATTAATTAGTACAAGTCAAATATAGAGTACTCAAGCATTTGATAAGGACTTAACAAGCACAGACTGTAGACATTAGAATTATATGTCAATATTCCTCTTGTATAAACTGGCTAGCACCAACAATTTTCAAGTTTTAGGTTTAAAACAAACAAACAAAACAAACAAAAAATCAAGAATTCTTTAATGCTGCTATTTATGCTTTTTTAACAAGTAATAACTGAAATAGAACTTCAAAGAATTTTAGAAGAACTTTTTAAAGGACTTTAATTCCTTTCTGGCATTAATAAATATTGGGGTCCTAACATTCATATTTCAGCCACATAAAAAATAGACATTTGTACATTAATGTATGCAAACATACATGTATGTGAAATATATATACATATGGTCTTTAACCTTTGTATGTTCATATAGCATACATATATATACACCTGATCATAAGTCGCACAAACATTTTCACACCAGTATTTAACTCATTATTTCTAAAATAAATTCAAGCACAAAAATATGCATAACTAGCCCTTTGCTAAGGGCTGATAACTTTACAACTCCAACAGAAGCCAACAGAAATGGATTTTAAAAAGTGATTATTCTACTTTTAGTGATATACCTTTATACGGTAATTAATGTGAAAATGCCACATGGTTGCCTGCAATAGCAATAATATTTCAAACACTTACAATGACACTAGATTGATTCTTCTTACTGTAGGAATTTTGCTCTGGGGGTCCTACAGAGTCACTGAATCCGATCTTTTATTATTTCAGGTCACCACCTCTTGCAGTCCCATGAATTACAATATCAAGCTCATTTAAGATTTGATTTATTCACATTACTACTTTAGGGGAAAAATTCAGAATATATTTTTTTCTAACTTTCAAATTAATTCTTGCTCAGATTATACCTGTTTGTTATTTCTCCAAATAGGATAAATTACTCTTCCTCCTCACCAGTGCCTTCCTCCATTCTTCTCCCACCATAAAGAAATAAATTGTTTAAGCTTTTCATTTGTGTAAGCAAAACAAGTCAATTTCTTCTACTTTTTCTTGTACAATGAAGTCTTGGCTGCCAATAGTTTATTTGGCATCAAGCTGAATTCAGTGCTTTTGAAGAATAATGATAATGCTCAGTGAGATCAGTTTGATGAGGTCCAATCAGCAGCTTATCATTAGTACATGTTAATACTTGTCTACGTATTCTGCAAATATTAATCTGATATACTCTGAAAAAACACATTTCCCTTTTCTTTCCAGCAAATCAAATTTGTGCTATGTAGCTAATTCTACTAGAGTCTCTTCTTTGCTATTTCTGATACCTACTTTCACTATTAATCTTTAAATCATTCTTCAGTTCTCAATCACTTACTTAACACAGAAATTATTGAAGGGCAATACACATGCAGAGTGTCTCTTTTTACAGATTTCTTCATGCTTAACTGCTGAAAGGACAAAATAATGGAAAGTTTAAACATTTATATTTTATATGATCTTACCAATAAATGGATATAAAAACTGAAGAGTTGAAAGAATTAAATAACCTGTAAGACCATATGTTTTTCTGACCAGCTCTTGATAGGTAGTTGTACTGGAGAGGTTTCCTCCTTTGATCAATAATATAATGGAATAATCTGTTAAAATATAAAGTTGTTATTAAAAACAGTAAGTTGGTTACTCTTTAGTTTGTTCACTTAAAAAAACAAAACAAAACAAAACCAAAACCAGAATCTGCAGACAGGGAAAAAAGTTGCATTGGGAAAAGCAGGGAAGAGAAGCTTCCTTATAAAAGATTTCCACCCACCAAAGCCAGAAGCCATGGGTTTATACTGGAGGGAAATTCCAGCTTTCATGAGTTTAGACAGCAAAAGTAGCCTCATTTTCACTGGTTTCCAGTACGGTCAAAGGCAGTAAGAACTGTCATGAGCACCAAAACCAATGAAGATTCAGTTAACAATGTGGTGAACTTCTGAACAAATGGTAAATGCCACTATATCTTCAAGTGCTGTGGAGCATGAAATTGTCTATGTTTTGGCGCTAGAGCTCTGGATCACTTAGTTACTCCGCTTAGTCAAGTTTGCAAAAGAAAAGGTTTGGTCTGTATTCTGTGCCTTCTCTATTACTGGCCATAAAAAAGGTATTTTAACCATTTTTATTGAGTACTCTTTGGAATAAGACATGCAGAGTGATTTATTAGGAAATCCAGGGACTGAATGTCCTTCAAACTGAGCCCCTTTCTTGTATTAGGCAATGTGCATTGCAGCAGAGCTGAGATCACAAGTAACATCACTCCTTGATTGAACCTCAACCTTGTATGAAAAATTCTAATTAGTACTACTGTTATTTCAAGTTCAAGTAAATCCTTGAGTGCCAGGAGATTTTCCAATCTGGACTAGTTACAGCACAGAATTTATTACCTTACTGCAGATATGCCTTGACAGATAGTAGCTACACTTTTTCTATTTCTCATCCATCTGTCTTTCTTTCACCTTGCTTGTCATCTACACTGCTTTTTGCTAGCAATATCAGGGTTTATTATCTTCTAGGAATGCATGAAATTGTGACTCTTGTTTAAAATTCTGCCAAGTACGGCTGTAAATTGTGCATAATTCAATTTCACATAGCAATTGTGAAATTTTCATAGTTGTTACAAAGGAGATTTCTACTGTATATTAATAATAATAAAAAAACAATCCAGAGAGATTCACCTAACCAAGGGCAATTCTTGCACAGTATAACCTCATTTCACGACAATTAGCAGCAGACAGAAGCAGAAATACAGAAAGATTTGCTATCAATTAATTGCATGCCAAGACGATCTTGCACAAGAAATATTACTTTCGAGCAGGAGATCTTAAGTTCACAGAGCTTAGAAAACACATTTATAATTAAGTAATCTAATAGTTTGACAATTTAGGACTGATTGCAGTATCATTCAAAAACGTTCCAAAAAACAAACAAAAAATAAACAAACCAAAGAAACATTCATTATTTAGTGAAGACTGGGGAAAGCAAGTGTTGATGTAACATACTTTATCCTACACTTGAAACATTTTAAGTAAGGAAGTAATAACTAGTAAATAGATTTTGCACACGAGCAAATTATAAGACACTCAGAATCATAGCACATCCAAGTTTTATTTCTGGGGTACATGCGAAATATAACCTATCTAGGTTAACCACCTAACTAGGATAAAACCAGTGGACTATAAACATGTAATTATGAAATACAAATAAAAGCTATTCTTCCAAATGTCACTTTGACCTAGTCTAAGAAAATAGGCTTCACCAAAACAGACATGTTGTACAAAATAATGCTTAACTGCTAATCTGCTCAGGGGATTAATGAAATAAGTGAAAAAATCTTCATTTTTATTTATTCACAGGTATACTTTTTTAGCTTTCATAATGTTCAAAAATGGCTAACCTATTCAGGTCTAATTTTCATTTTACAATAGAAACTGCTTTTACAGTACCTGTGATATAGGCAACCCCAAATAAAAGGAGTACTCCTAAAGGAAAGCCAGCTTGCTTCATTGAATATGGCAACCCTGTGAATAACAAAACAATAAGATTCTATAAGAACCTACCCAAACACTCCTTGTATGCGATGACTAAAACAAAGCAATACTCAGATTAAAACAAACAAAAGTCAAAACAAATAAAATACAATCCCTCTCTCCCCCCAAAACTCTATCACTCTCCCAGATTGGACTAAGACAGCAAGGCTTCTCAGCATACTTCATAACCTCAAGGAAAAAAAAAAAAAAAAAAAGGATAAAGAGTTTCCCAGACCTAAAATTCAGCCAGCACCCGCTAAACCAGAGGGCCAATATGGCAAAAGAGTCAGTAGAAACTTTACTACAATGATACCTTTGATGTTAACTGACACCTCTGCATCCTCAAGTAATAGAGGATTATATCTAGGATCAACAGCAGAAAACCAAAAGGATAGTTTATATTGCCTGAGAACTGGATGTACATATAAGAAAATATTCATCAGTCTAGAGATTTATACTCACCTATAACGCCTGATCCTATGATTGAGTTAATAATGTTAAATCCAGCTGATGCCAAATCACTGTTTCCACTTTTATTTCTGGGTTTAACAACCAGGGCTGTTTGGTCATTTGTTTCCATCTATTTCAGGAAAACCACAGCATTATACAATGCAAAAGAGGTGAGAACAAGGAGTTTACACATTTTTAACACAGTCAGTGCAAGACCAAAAATTTTAATGTATTTGCACAGATTCAGATTTGTGGAGGTATCTTTATACACAAATCCTCTTTTGAGAAAAAAGAAGTGTCAGGCATCTGATTCCCTTATAAGTCTGATCCATAATCTTCTGTAATAAATTCTTCTTTAAGCGAATATAAGCAGAAGAACAGAGACATATAAATACAAGCTTAGAAGCAGACTATTACATAAAGACTTTTTTGTTGATGCTTTGCTCCAAAAGCGGCATATGGACAAACTATATTCGAAAAAGATGTTGATTAATCTCACTGGTCAATAAAAAAGTCCCTGAATCAGAAAAAATATTTTAATAATTATTAGAATATGGCAGCACCTGAGGGTGCTCAAGGTTTTACTAAGCAGTTTGCTACCTCAATCAACAGTTTAGTTTATTAGGAATACTAATGACCCTGTAAATTTTGTTCCTATGGGAATATCTGGTTTCAAAGTAAATTTCAAGACAAACAGATCTGTAGCCAATGTCTTCAGAAAACCAAATTCTTATCTTCATATGTATCTCCTCATAAGCATGTAGTGATCCTCTACTTAGATCACCACTGTATTGACAGAGAATATGTTAATATCTTTCATTAGAAGGCTAGTATTTGAAATGGCATTTTGTGATTCAAAGGGAAAACATACGGATCATTAAGAAAATGCCTTATTTTCTGCAAAAACAGGAACATACTGGTTTCATTTTTCTCTCTAATCTCATGCATGCAGAAACCTGTCTAACATATATAACAAGCAGTAGAAATTGAGATGCCCTTAGAAAGAAAGAAATTGAAGCAACTGCTAAGTCTTAGTCTGTAGATGGTATAAGCTAACAAGTATAATAATGTCTCAAGAAAAGCTAGGTATTTACATGGAAACGTAAATCCTTATGCTGTGCTAATATAAGGATGCTGGTACTACTTCATATCAGAAGCCCACATAGCTCGATATCCCCTTTTCAAAAATGATCGATGCAAAAGGCCTAGGGAAGAGTAGAAGAACAAGAAAAATATATTGTTAGCAAATGATTTGTATAATATTGTCTCAAGTTACATGAGCAAATCTTGAACCAGCAAGGTTCCTGGTGCATGATATTCCTTAATAGATTTCCCCTAGAATTTTCGCCTTTTGAAGCCAAGTACGCTTTTAGTTTCTCCTACATGAAGACTAGAGCTCTGGAAAGCGTATGCTGAAGAACTGTTGCAGGACAGGCTAGCGGGCTGTGAGGATGACCAACATCATGGGAGAAGCATCGGGATGCACTTGCCCTTCATAACATCGCTGTCGAGGGAACCAACACCAAACGGCCGCCCCAGCGGAGGCTCCTGCCAGAGGGCGATGAGGGCCATGGCCACCGGGCTGATGGCAGCGGGCCCATCAGGAGGTGGGATGCTTGAAGCTTGGTGTCCATGTGAGCCTGGTTTTTATCTGAGTCAAACGGCCATCACTCCATAACCTTTGGAGCCAACCAACACATTTGCGAATTTTTCTTCCTCCTCCCCCCCTCTTTTTTTTTCCCCTTCTATGGTACTTATGGCACTTTCTACCTCACACTGCTCATAGGAGTGATCCGAGCACTCCAAGTTAGGGAAAAAAATGCACAGAAATGAAGCTGCTGCCCACAGACGCCTCGTTAGCACAGAGGGGGAAGCCAGGCTGCTGGACACAGCCCGTCAATACAAATCCATCAAAAGCAAACGCCACCGTGGCCGCCCAAACTGCACAAGCGGCCCCGGCGGTCCCTCGAAGTCCCCGCCTGGCTCCCGACTACGGGCAGCGGGCACTGAAGTGAAGTTAGGGAATTGCTGGTACGTTTGCCTGGCCGCGGAGGGCCGCCGTCCTCCCCGCGAGCGCAGCCCGGAGCCCGCGGCGCTGATCCTGCCCCCAGGTACCTGACGGGCAGCGGGCGGCGGCTCCTGCCCACTGCGCTCCATCGCCCGAGCTTCCTTCCCGGCGACACCGAGCTGCCT